GAGGTGCTACTGAGCAGGGAGGGAAAAGGAGTGGAGCCAGAACCAGAGCAGGTCTGGTGCCTGGGGGGGAGGGAATCAGAAGGGTCTGGTGCCCACGGGACCCTTGCGACCTGGGAATAGTGTGGAGATGGGAGCTAGGGCAGGCTCAAGGACAGAATCAGAACAGACTCAGACCCGGGAGCAGGACAGGAGCAGATGAGAGCTCACCCGGTAATCCTTGAGGCAGCCTCCTTTTCCTTAAAGGTACAAGTACATCAAGGCAGGGCAAGTGAACAAAAGGGGAGGATCAGGGTACAGCGAAGGCTGAGTAGCCACCAGGGGGACAGGCCTTTGTTAGAGCCTGTAGTCGGCAGCCAGCTCTCTGCAGTGTCCCACTGAACCCAGTGTGTGTTCCCGACAGCTGGAGCATAACAGTCTCACAGCTGTCACAGCCAGGCCCACGCCACCAGTCCAAACACACAGGCTTATGGGCTGTGAGAGCTGTACCTCTGTGTTCAGTGCTGAGGCTGCTTAGGAAAGCCTGGCTCTCAGCAGCCTGCAGAGGCAGGGCAGGGTTGGACTGTCCCTTGGTCTGGGCTGGGTAACACTTCCAAGTTCTGTTTGCAGATGGACCAGCCTTTCCAGACCTCCCAAGTCACTTTCTCTCAACTAGTGCAGCTGCTGACTAGCCAGGCCCATTCGAACCTGTTGCATTGAGTTGTGCTGCTTCTGCTGGTGCTGAGACACTGCATGGGAAGAGCAGGGAAGCTGTGGTGATGCTGCCTCACCCATTCAGCATTGTGGGCCTTCCACTAGTGTGTTTAGTTGCTGAAGCTGTGCTCAGAGGTGACAGTGTCCAGGCAGGAGAGAGCCCAGCAGGTCTCTCTGATCCCAGGGTTGTTGACAGTGTCCTTGAAAACCCATTTGCTCTGGAATCAAGGAGATGACAAGTATGGATCCCCCACTGAGTTACTGCTCCACAGTGTCACCATGTCTCTCTCCTGCTCACCTCTCCCTCTGGTGACCAAGGGAAAGTGTTTCCCAGGGTTGGTCTTTCCAGGTCAGGAGTTCATGTTTCCATATCTGGCACCTTTAAAGGATATCCTGCCCATCCAGGAATAGTTGAGCCAGAGCAGGGCGAGGCGACAGGTCTCCAGGATGCGTTTTGAACTAGCAGCATTTCTGAAATTAGATCTCTTGGATGACTGCCTGCTCAACTGGGATGCTGCAACTATAGGCACATGCCAGAACCTGAGCCTGCTGCTGTCATCACGGGGAATCTTACCCCTGCCTGCAGTGTGAGAAAGATAGGGCCGCTTGTCAGTTTTTTCCAAACAGCCATCGTTCTAATGCATCTCAGAGGGCACCTCTTGGACCCACGATTGCAAAGAGCAGTGCCGCACCACCAGTATTTCCTCTCCTCCTTGCCCCATTTGGGATGGGGAAGGCTCCTGGCCTTTGCATTTGTCAGGCCAGCCTTCCTGGCATAATAAAAGTGACATAATGCAGGGCACTTAATCCTCAGGCTTTGGGAAGGCCTCAGTGGAGCTGCCCACTGAGAGGTAGGACAGTCCTAGCCAGAGCAAGACCTCTGATCACGTCTCCTCTGCTCTGAGTTTTTGCTGGGATAGCTGCACCTACTGAGGCCTTCTCTTGCTGTACAGGCAGCAAGCGTGTGGATTGAGGACAAGCTCTGCTCTCATCCCCCTTGCACCAGGGAGCTACTGGACAGCTCAGAAATGAACCTCAAGGTGGTGTACCTTTGAGTTCTGGGGTCCATTATACCACCCTCTAGCTCTTCTTTATACACTACTTTTCCATGTCAGTGGAGGATGGCTTAAGGAAATCACCTTTGCATTTTGCAATGATGTTTCTCCTTGGAAAACTCTGGCAGGCCTCATTTAGTTTTGAGCCTTGGAGGGCTTGACAGTGACTGAGCCTGGAATTCTGTTTCCTTTGCTTTGATAGACGCTTCCATGCAGGATAGCCTGTCCTGCTGGAGGTACCCGGGATGGGTCCTTCATTCTGGCCTGATCTCCAGCTGGCTCTCTGACCTGTGGGAGGAGATGCAGAGGAGGTCTTTTGTGTTGTTAAGAGGGTCAAGAGGCAATTTATGATGCTGGAGGTGTCAGGCACTTGTTGAGGATGCTGTGCCCCGCCATCCATTTGTTGACCGTGGGAAAATAATAGAGCAATTCTTCTGGGGCAGAGAACTCAGAAAAACTAGCAGGTCAGAATGTTTTTGACACGATAGTTTCCTATTTGAAACCTCTGGGCTTATCTTGTGAATCGTGTTTGCACACCTAGCAGTGCTAATCTTGCATACCACGCTTAAAAACAAACTCTTGGGCCTGCCAGGATGCCAAAGCACCCTGGGTGAGACTCACTGGGCTAGAGAGTTCAGAATAATGGTTGTGGTTCAAGGGAGAGGGCAGGAGACCTCTTGTGCATCGGGAGGCTTATTTGGGGTGCAGCAGGATGAGGGAGACCCAGTCAGATGTGTCTGACCGCAGAATGGATTCTGTTACTGGCTGAGTGGTTCCTTCCCTTCCCAGCCTAAGTGGTGTTTGGGGGGTGCGTCTGGCACTGCTGCCTCTGCTCTGCCTCCCCTCTTCTGCCATCTCTGCTGCCTGGAAGGCCTGGCACCAGGAGCTCCTCCCCAACTTTGGTGTTGCTGGAGGGCAGCTGCTGCCAAGACTCATGGGAAAAGAAGCAGGCCCCTGGCTAACTCCAGCTGCGGTGTGCAGAGCAGCCCCATGCTGCAGCTTCCTCACACCCCTGGCAGGCTGCAACAGGTGGGGACTCTCTCCCATTCCCTGGATGGCCTTTCCTGCTGGGACAGCTGTGCTCTCATTTGAACTGCTGACTCTATTTGAGGTGTTTGCCCGCCCCCTCTTCCCCTTGGCCCAATGGCGTTTGGGACTGGCTGTGTAACTCTGCACCTAACCCTGTGGCTTGCCTCCCTGGTCCCGCTCCCAGGCTCACATGGTCTGTGCTGGCAAAGGCCACTTCCTGAGCCTCCGGCTTCTGCAAACGTGGGCTGCCGAACAGTCCCTGAGACCCTTGCCAGAGGGAGTGGGAAGGGCACGTGGAGCTGCTCGGGGGCTCAGCAACTACCTGGGCACACGGCGACTTCATGATGCAGACGGTGTTTTTGTATTTTCCCCAGCAGCTGAGCAGAGCGGACCCTGAATGTGGTTATGAGGATGGGGACGAGGCCTCTCGCAAGAAAAGGAGCAAAAACCTGTAAGTGGCCACACATTGAGTATTAAATCATTATCCTGCTTATGCCCCGGGGCCCAGCTGTCTCACAGGAGATGGGGGATGTGAATCTCCTTGGGTCGTGGGCTCTGATTGAGTGAGGAGGCTGGTGTTTTGATGTTTGAAATAACTGTGTAGTGTCGTATCTGGGCTGCGTCTCAGCTGAGTTCTTCTTCAGCAGTGCAGGGGGGAGGGAGGGACAAGGACAGATACAGACTAAGATCCCGGTCTAGGCTTGTGGCTACAGATTGGTTTTCTGAACAAGTGTGTTGGAGCAAGAGCTGGAAGCAGGAGGCAGAAAGCCGGCACAGTACAGCCTGCATAGGGAAGGGCCCTTGATGCAGCATGTCTCTCTTGCTTGATGCAGCTGATAAATGCAGGACTGCCTTGGTGCCAGGAGAGAGACTCTAGGTTGGCTTTGCAGGGAAGTGAAGTTCAGAAAGAGGACATTCAGAGCCAGTGAAACTTGAGCTAGCAGCCTCCTTCAAGCTGGCCCCATGCAGGGGAGGAGTAGGGAAGCTTGCAGCTGTTGCGGTTTAATACGGCAGGGGAGTACCCTCAGGCAGTACAGCACGGTGCTCCCAACAATGGACCCTCTGACTGGAACACGCTCAGATAGATTCAAGTACTGCTGGCCCAGGCCAGGCAGGGGACCGACGAAGAAGAGCCCCTTCACACTTGTTCAGCCTTTGGCTGCTTCTCTAGTGAATGTGACCCCCTACCATTGTTTGTCAGATTTGCAAATATAGGGCAAGCCTGGCTTTTAAGTGTTAAACATGCCTCAAAGCTGCCCTAAAGTGTGGAGTCTTGCAAGGAAGACTCGGTCACAGCCTATTTCTGCAGTCAGATTTCAGTGAAGAGAAAAGAGCCATCACCATTGTGGGGATCTTTGGAAACGCCACCTTTGGTTGTAAAGAACCAAGATTTGCTTGGTTATAACTTTTACTGGACCAACTGTGTAGTTGGCAGAGAGGTTAGACTGGCTGGGGGCCACAAAGTGCCCTTCGGTCAGCCTAGGAAAGAGGCAGACAGCATAGGTAAATGCCAGGTAGAACAATTCCATTAGTTCAACCTCATGTTAGTGAAAGTGGTCTTTTAAAAGGGAGATGTGTAATAAACGTGTATATCAAAGAGCAGTTATAGGCCCAGATGGACATACTGAAATATAGGTCCTGGCAAGCTGGGTCTTTCCCCAGTAACCATGGCGTGGAGTGGAGTGGACACTGAAAGCCCATATGTGTTTGTCATCTTGAAAAAGAGATGCCCAGTGTGTGGGGGGTGGGAGGCCACAGTGCAACAGCAGACAGGCCACAGCTCGTAGCTGTGGCAGTTATGTGCGTGGGTATAGCCCGAGGACTGCCCTTGGCTGGTGGCTGTGCAGGTCAGGGAAATGCAGCGGTAGTCTGAGTGCCACTGGGTGGCAGTGTTGCCCCGCAGGGCCTGGTTGCAGACAGGCTGCAGCTGCTGGGATCAATGTTTGGAGCCCTCTGATGATTTCCTCCTGACACTTGTATTTCAAACGAGCCCTTTACAATCTGGCTTTTGCATGCAACCAGCTCTGAGTGCAGAGCAATGGGACATCCCTTCCTGCCAGCCTGTTGCCCGGGCTGTGAGATGTTGTAACTTCACGGCTCACCTGCCACAGGCTTGGGGAGGAAGCAGGATTGAGCCCTGCAGAACTTCTCATTTTTAAGTTGGTGTCAGGGCAGCTGCAGAGCCACCCGCCCGCTCTTCACCTTGAGGTCACTGGAGACAGCAGCAGATTCACTGTGGAGCGTCTCAGCCCTGCGCTGCCCTGCTATTGGCTGAGCTGTTTGTTTGCAGTCAGTCCATGTGGAGTATTTATGGTGCCTGCCGCTGAGAGCTGGCACTCAGCTCTCCTCCCCAGAACAGTGCACACCTCTTGCCCTTGGCCACTTCCCAATGTACCACACCATGGTGGACTTTTCTGAAAAGTACTTGGAAAGGTAGGACTTTTTATTCACATCTTGGGGCACTGGGCCAGAGCCTGGGGGGAAGAGGCAGAGGAATGGATGGGGTGCTGTTGGCTTTAAAGTCTTTCAGCAGGAGGTGGCATTTCGGCAGTGTTGGGGTGCTGGGATGCAGTGCACAGCTGGGCAGGACATGCGCTGTCAGAGATCAGGTGCTAATGCTGCCGTGAGTTGCCCTAGGAGAGAAAATCTCTGTCTTTCCCTTGTGAAGAATGTTGGAACTTCACCTTCAGACTTACAGGACTGTCGTGTGTGGGGCTTGGCTGCCTTCTACAGCTCTAGATTTTTTAAATTAATGGGTAGATTCATACTTGTCCAAGGAGAAGATAGTATTTTCTAATAATTTTCCATGCTATGGACCAGGAAGCTCAGTTCTGTGGATCGCACCAAGTGATGCAGCTCTGAGGCTGATCAAGGCTATTTTTTGTTGTTTGTTTGTAATGTTGTGTAAGGAGAACAATAGAATTGCTTGTGTCTTTACTCGTGGAACGTGCCAGTCTTCCCATATTGCTTCTTAGTGTCCAAACAATAGAAAAGCCAACTGGTCATTGGCTGTGTCCACTTGTATAGTGTCAGACAGCTCTGCACCTCTTGATTATGTCTGTACTTTTGCACTGTGCTGACATGTGGATGGCTGAGTTCATGCTCTCAGTCGCTCTCTCATACACACAAGTGCTTGTAAGTACCAGGTAATTTTCCTAAGTATGTTGCGAATGCGAACTGGAGAGGCAGATCTTGCAGAGGAATAATTATGGAGCGCTAAATTAAGAGCACAGCTAAAATTGTGGTTTTGTGACTTGTAGGATTGCTTCATCCCATGGTGTGGCTCTCCCCTGGAAAACAGCACACACAGGCATTAGCATTCCTGGCAGTGCCGTAATGGGAGACAGATGGTGCTTTGAGGGTTAGAATCCTTGTTTGGCTCCTCTTTTCCCATGCTACTGATGCTTGCAGATGACAGTCGGTGTCCGAGGCACTGATGCGCCTTGAGCAATAAGGGTTTGATCCTGGGAGATGCAGAGCTCTGGTACGGGGCCAGCAAAACAGCTGGGCACATCCCTCTCTTCAGGGCTACTTCCTTTTAAGTTAGTGGGGCACGGTGTGACCTGAAAACTCTGTGACCTGAAGTGCTCAGCTGGCCCAGCACCAGAGAGTATGGCATGTTTCCAGATTGAACCTGCCCCCTCCTGTCCTTTAGGCACCAGATCAACATCCCAGTGAGATTTCCTTCTGGGCTGGGGCCTGCCTGGGTGGGGCAAGAGCCTCCTGGGCTCTGGGGCGTGATGTTCAGCTCCATGCTCCCTCGTGGTCTCTTCTGCTGTGTGCAGTGACTGCAGATACACTGCTGTGGTGCTGCTGGTTGGGGATGTCTCCTTGCGAGGCTCTAAGTTGCTCTCACAGCACAGCTACTTACCAGGTAAAAGAGCTGGACTGGGGCTAGGCCACAAGAGAGCAGCATCCCATCTTGCCCCTACTCCCACCCCATCCTGCACTCTCCATCTCCGCTGCCTGCTTTCCCCTAGAGGAAGCTGTCCTGCCCCATTGACAATTGGCTAAACTGCGCTCAGCATGAAGCAGCCCTATCCTTAGCTTAGAAACCATCTGATTCATGCCTTCGTGCAATGACTGTCACATTAATCCCTGCACTTGCATCTAAGTGCATTGTCCTAGTGGGATGGGAGCCTATGCCAGAGTGTGTGTAAATCCATGTGCTCCATCCATTGCTGCAACAGCTACATATGTGCCTGGGCCTGAGATAGCTGAACTTTTCTCAAACAATTCTATGCTGGTCCCTCCTGGCCTTGCCAGTAATCTGGGCAACCTCACAGTGTGCCAAAAGCACTTGGCAGGCTCAGAGACTTGAAGGACTTGGGAAAACACCTATCAAGTCAGTGCCTGAGTCAGGGGGGAAAATTGGGCCATTTGGGCTTGCATAGTGCAATACTACATCAGAGCACCCCTGCTCTGTAGGATGCTACCTTGTATAAATCCCTCTCTCTGCAGTGGGGAGCCACTGGGAAGTACCCCTGGAAAGAGAGTGGCTGTTTTTTACAGTCAGGAATCTCCTGGTGATCTGAGCATAGAAGGAAACAACCCCTGAGCGTTTCCTTCTTGCTCCATGTCGTATAACAAAAGTAAGAGAGCATGTTGTCACTAAAGTGCATGCAGCGCACAGCTCTGGTGGCAGGTCTCTTACTCTGCACCACTGAGAGTGGAGAGGCCTGAGAGGAGAACAGGAATCAAATCATTGCTCTCGGCTTGCTTAGAGGTGCCTTCAGTGATAGCTTGTTGTGCTGGGTGCTCTGCTGTCTCAGCGCTTGGGGGCACAGGGCTTGCCCTGGCAAGCCTGGCCTGTGAGCATGGCCAGCCCACGTCTCAGGGGCTAGAGGTGCAAAGCTGTCTTGCCACCCAGCATGCCAGGAGCACTGGTACCTACAGTGCATTTCCAGTGGGTCATCAGGAGCAGGAGCCAGATCCCCAGGTAGTGGGGTAGCATGCTTGCTCGTGCCCAGCTGGGCGACTTGTATACCGGGGGCCGCATGGTGGGCCCCTCCTGTTAACCCCTGCTTTGCCAGCCCGCGAGAGGGACATTCCAGCCGGCATTCCTGAGGATGCCTGCGCTCTATAAATAGCCCCTTGTAAATCCTTGCCTGATTTCTTTTCCCGCTGCTCTGAAAGGCCCCACTATCCCAACTCTGTGCTGATTTTTCCAGCCCTTCCTTTGGTTGCTACAGCAACTGGTCGAGGAGTCGTCATAAATAGCTGCAGCCTGTGTGTGGGGCGGTGCGCAGCTGGAGCAGCCGTGGCTGGGCGCTGACACAGCCCTTACTCACACATGCCTCTTTCACTCCATGGAGCGTTTAAAGCTCCTCCAGCCTGGTCCCTCCCACTTCCTGGCTTGCTGGCCCAGAGCAAGAGTGCAGCACAGAGCTGGGATTCAGAGCTGTAGCAGCAGCTGGCCAGGCTGGTTGTGCGCTGGTCTGCTGCCTGCGGAGCTGCTCTCCGGGCGCGGGGCTCCCTCCTGCGGGAGCCATGCCGTTCTTCCGAGACCTCTCTAAGCCTCAGCCCCTGGAGTTCCACGCGGAGATGCTGCTGGGCATGCAGCGGCCTCACGGCGGGAACCTGCAGCGTAGGCACACCATGAAGGAGTAGGTGTCATGTGGACGCTGGGCGGGAGCGAGGGGACACGGCCATGGAGGGCTGTCCCCTGAGCTGGGCCGGCCGCGGAGGGGAGCTCTCATAGTATGCCCTAAAATCGTCAAGGCTCTTGACCCATCGCAGTGCCCTTGCTCCTGGTTGCAGAGCTGGTTCCTGTGAGCAAGAACGCTGTGCCCCTGGCTACGAGGCTGCGGCTTGGTGTCCCCTTCCTCATCTCCCATCACCAGCCCACGCTGCAGGGCACTAAAACCTGCTCTTGTCTCTAGGGCCAAAGACATGAAGAACCGACTGGGGATATTTCGACGACGAAACGAGTCTCCAGGGGCCAACCCCGCCAGCAAGCTGGACAAAGTGCTGAAATCCCTCAAGTAGGTACTGGCAGTGGGAAGCTCCAGATGCTGCCAGAGCTGCTTTGCTGGGGGGCTGTCTGTGTGGGGGGTTGGTGCTTGGGGCTCTGAACTTCCCTGGCACATGGGGGTTAGGACATGAGCTACAGTATGAGCAACTGCACTGAATGTGTGACCCCAGTGATCTACAGCAACCAGCTGGGAGGGGAGGCACAGTCCCATGGTTCCCCGGACAGGAGGCTTTTAACC